TGATTTATGGCACGACGCATGGAAACGTTGTCATTTTGGATCTAAGGACTATGCGAATACTACAGCAGTTCAATAACCCTGTACACTCTGGGGCTATCACCAGTATGTGTCTCGACAAAGGAAGGACATGGGTAGTGGCGGGATCCGTGACTGGACTGCTTTCGCTATGGGATATTCGATTTGGTCTCCTTCTGAAGACGTGGAAGGCTGGATCAACGACTCAACCAGGGGCCAATTTGAGAGTCCACCAATGTGCTAATCACCCTGTCAACAAGCAATGGGTCATTGTCGCATCGGAAACCCGTTCCACCGCCCAATCAGATGGTGGATCGATACTTGTAGAGGTATGGGATCTGGAAAAAGCGACTATAGTGGAGACTCTCGTCACGCGTGATGTTTCAATCCCGTCCCATGGACAAGCGCCCGCACTGGTCACTTCTGCTCCGGTACAACAACCGACACCTGTCTCCCAATCACCTGCCGATGCAATCTCCCAATTAGTACAATCACGCAATGCCCAAGCCTCAACGAAAGGCTCTAACCCAGAGCGATACATGACAGAGAGCGATTATGCCCCGTGCGACATTAGATCTCTAGCGGTCGGCATAGATTTTGGAGGACAAGGCTCAACTACTACAACAAGAGATGGGTTTGTGCTCACAGGAGGTTTTGGAGGTCTGGAAAGCCGCCACAAAGATCTTGGATATGTTCTTCTGGGATCAGAGGACCGAAAGCTGAGGTTGTGGTATCTGGGTCAAGGACAACTCGAGCGGTCAGTGATGATCAGTGGAGTTGCTACAGATAAGCAGGCGCCTTCGTACAGGCAAGTTAACAGCCCCGTCTTCTGACCTAAGCACCCTTCTGACCTTTTTTTAGCACAATTCGATCGAATGTTGACAGCCCTCCAAGTCATACCGAAATCTGGTCCCACTACGACGCCAAGGAGAGAGAGAAGCACAGGAGCACAGCTCGCCCAAGCCTCATCGGACATTATCAACAAACTTTACTCAAGTCACATCAAGATTGCATCACCGCTATCGCTTGCATCGATTCACCGTTCCGTGGAGGAGTGGTCAGTGCGGATCGATCAGGAGTCATCAAGGTTTACAGAGTTTCCGAATCAGAATAGACCATTGCATGCATAATTCATCAGACCATATCGATTTCATACTTGTACTTGTATTACCATAATCCAGTTTTCATGATACGCATTGAAGATTTGTGCATTAAACTTCATTCCATAACAGTGATTACAAGAGAGATTGTCCGAGGGACTAAACAATTACGAGATTAGCGGGCAAATTGGGGTGATGGGAGAAACATGAAATAGAACAAGGGCATTATGTGGAGTAACATTCCGAGAGATCGTCCAATATGATGCAGAAAATTAAGCGTTGTCTGTGATGCAATAGCAGGCTGCCTCCATGGGCAGAATCGTCTAGAGTGGCACAAAGCCATAGCGGAGGGGTGATGGTTTTAGTGGAAGATAGAGGCGAAACCCTATAGAATAACGATAAGTATGACAAGGAGGAGAGAATGCTGATGTGTCTCACCATTGATGGCTTGCCCAGCCAAATCACCGCGTTCAAACAATGGAGTGCTCGCCTGCTTCTCCTTCTCCATCGAGCTATCTAGTGACTTGCGAGAGGTATTTTCGACTTCAGCATCATCTCCGGTAGGAGAAATATTGAAGTAGTAGTCGAATATCGAAGATGAATCGTCATCCTCTTGACTCTTTACGAACGCTGCGAACTGAGCTCGTTGAGATTTTCGTGGAGTATAGTATTCAGGAGCCGAGACGACACGGTCCCTTGGTTTAAACGACGTCGGTCTGGCCTTGGGAGACTTGGAAGCTTTTACTTTTTCTCTCATCTCTCGGATTTGCCACTCTAATCCAACTGGAGCTGTTCCTCGCTTATAGTCCGTAAACACTTCGGGAGACTCTTTGATGTCGAGACCAGCTTCTTGGTCGATAATTTGGTCATCTGTGATCGTGGCTGTAGTGGCTACATCGGTACGGGTTCGGCGATACCTCCTCCAGTAGAAGCGGATAGTGTAAAAGAGGCCGGCGACGATGGTGAGGGCAATGAGTGAGAGTGCGATGATCAAAATTTGGATATTTGTATTGAACAGAATGTTGTCCGGGGAGCTACTCGACGTGTTCCAAGGTGCGGCAAGCGTGTGGGTTGTCGCTTTGAGGTTAGGGAGGCTTGTGGCATCAGGGATATTCGAAGAGGTGCTGATATCACTGCTAATGGAGATGGACGCCATTTGCTCGAGCATCTGAGGAGCGGCTTCAACTGGGACGACGTAGACAGGCATCTCGACAACGTTCGACGACGAATTCGGAGTCGGAGTGGATGTGGGCTCGTTAGATGTCGACGTAATGGTCGAGGAAGGTAATTGTGGCTCGTAGGTTTCTGAAAGAGGGACGACGATAGGGATGGTCGACGCTGAGGTGCTTGTTCGTTTGGTACTACGAGGAGAGGCTGCAGATGACAGTCAGACAATGCACAATGCACAAAGCAAAGAAGGGCACCCATACCTGTGGCCTCAGTATCAACCTCTGCGTCAAAGATAATTGAAGTCAAATGATCGGCATTCGAGGTATTATCTATGACGCCTAGAAGAGGTGTTACTGAAGGTCAACAGCACGGTAAGCAAATCGCAGTACCAGGGGTGCTATCGGCCTCAGGTCCTGTAAAGTCAATCTCGCGCGAGAAGAGGATGGGATATGAGGGTTCTGCTTTAGTAGCAGCGATGCTAGTGATTTCGGTGCTCTTTTGGATCCTTATAGGATGTGCTGTCACGCCAGAGGCGAGGAGAATGGGAGCAAAAGCGAGAACGCAGAAGGTAGATGTGAATGAGTGCATGTTGGCTGTATTTGGTGCCTAAGGAGCGAGTACTGCTTGAGCTGTAAGTTGGGGCAAGTGAGGATACGGATGGTCGAGAGGCAAGAGAGTGATGTTTACAATCAGCTGAAACGAGGCCACTTATATAGGGTGCCACACCGACCGCCGACGATTGCCACCTTTCACCAGCAATCGGATTCTCAAAGGAATATCCTCTCCATAATCTGTTTCAACCCCGAACTACATTTGAGCAACGCCAGAAGGCTTGTGGGTGTACCAAGCCTTTTGGTCATCGGTGAAGGCATCGGCGGTCGGAACTAAAAAGTAAGGATGAGATTAGCTTCAAGTCGACAGCACAGATGCAGAAAGATATACCATATAACAGGGTTCCTTTCGAGAAATACTGTTTGTTGTCAGTAGTACAGCACGCGAGGGGTTGAGGAAGGGAGCAAGCTAGCACCACTCGGCATCAGGTAAATATCACACACGCGTAATAGGTTGTCATAAAAATCATCATTCATGGATAAAATAAGTGCCATACAATGGGCAATAATTACCAGTGTGCTCCTCAGATACACTCGATAGTGCTACCATCG